CACCTAAGAATTTTGTAACGTTTACTCTAATTATTTCGATGTTATCAATAAAAAGGGATGGCATTTCATAAGGCAGTAGTTTTATCTTAGAGGGCGGGTGAAAGAGAGTCCAGTTTGTTTTTTGAATATTAAGCAATAATTTATTTAATTTAAACCAGTAAGAAATCTTGTTTAATTCTACATTCATAAGTTGAAACAGAGTAGTGATGTTAGTATGAGATAAGAATAAGTTTGTATCGTCTGCAAACATGATTGTTTTCAATCTGGATACTTTATAGAGATCGTTGATATATATAAGAAAAAGAAGTGGTCCGAGAATAGATCCTTGAGGAACACCACAAGTAATTTCTAACAACCTTATTGGAGAAGAAGCGTCAATGGTTACAAATTGTTTGCGATTACTTAAATAACTTTTTATCCGCTTTAAAACATTTCCCGTTATTCCGTAATTTTTGAGTTTTTTAAAAAGAATTTTATGATCTATTGTATCAAAGGCTTTCAATAGGTCGATGAAGATGCCTAAAGTAACTTAATTTTAAAAATGGAAAAGGATATTGACAATCCAAAATTGAGTAGAAATTTGCCATAGATAGCATTTTAAAATAAGGTATGCTTTGGTTTTAGCTGCATGTACAACGTTTGAAATATACTTTTTATAGTTCAGTTGAGAATTCCGAGTCACACCGAAATCTTTCGGAATAGAAGACCAAGCTAAAATAAAATATCTTAACTTACAGTGAAAGTTAATGAATTTTTTCGATGAAGCAGCCACAATCCTTTGAACAAAACACTTACTGATAGATATAGCTAGTTGCCATGTTTCTGACCTAAGTACTACGTTATCAAGAGCTAACTAAGTGATTATAGCCATTACTTAGTTAAGCTTGTTTAACTAAGTGATAGCCCATTATTGCAAAATGAACTGTTTAACATGATATTATCGGCATAAACCTTTAAAGAGCAATCAAGATTGTTTACAATAGCGGTTATATCATTGATATATAGTAAAAATAATGTTGGACCTAACACGCTACACTGAGGAACTCCGCTAACGATGCGAGTTGCGTTTGATAATGAAATTCCAACCTTAACTGGTTGACTCCTATTGTTAAGAAATGCAGTAATCTAATTTTTTAATTAACCTCTAATGTTAAATAGAGCAAGTTTGGCTAATAATTTAGGATGAGAAATTAAATGCCTTTTCATATGATGCTTGATACGAAATGCAAAATTGAATAAACTTTTTCTGACGAAAGTTTTTGTTTTCTAAATTATTATAAAGCAAAGTATATTTATTAACAGATTTTGGAAAAAAAGATCTTTAAAAACTGACGGTGGCGAATTTAGGAATAAGATACGGGGTCGACGACGCGGTTTTTCGATTTACAATTGTCAATTTCTAAAAAAAAAGGTCATCTAAATATTGAAATTTGAAATTTCTAATAAAAAATGTCCTCCAGAAATAAGAAAGGGGCTCGTGCCCCTTTACTCCCGACGTCATGGGCTTTGGCTACATAGCCTGCAGCCTATGGACGCCAAAAAGAAAAAAGAAATAAAACATAAAAAGTGGAAAGAAGAAAGTTTCTTCTCCTCAAACTTAATTTTTTTATTACAATTTTTTTCTTATGAAACCCCCTGATTTCTGGCCGATAGTTAGAGTTAAAAACCCGAATCTATTTGTTGAATGCTTTTCGAATAATTGACCAATATACTAATACTTTTTATCATTTTCGGCAAATATTTTACTGTTAAATATTACTTCATGATTTAGCTTAAATTAACGTTTTTATTTTATAAGATGTATAAAATGAGATATCGATAGTTCTAAAAGATGTCGTTTACTTATTTTAATCATTGGTATTTCATTTACTTTTCTTGCGCAATGCACATTATTAAAATTTTACAGCGTTTAATTAAGCGTAATATTTAAACGAGTATAATAATTTAATGAAACTTTATTGATTAGTATTTTTAAATAAATATTTTATAAACGTAAATAGTTTATAAACAATTTTTTTAAAATAATTCATATACATAAGCAAATTGTGGAATTATTCGAACATTTCGAATTATTAAAAAATAGTTATTCGGATAATTGAATAATTCGAATAAATTGGATTATATCCAATATGAATATCTATATTTGTCATGCCCGTAGCGTCAGGGAGAGAAAAAGGGGTCGTCGGGTGCAATCAAGCCCCTTTTTTTTTTACAGTCACAGTTAAAGAAACATCACCATCACAGTTAAAGAAACTGGACAAAATTGCTTCACGAATCAATTGCGGAGCAAATCGAGATGCTCATTCAGCCCCTCTTCTTACTAAATTAAAACTGAACTCACTAGAAGATAGAAGAGAAAAGCATGTAGTTGAACTTGTTCGTTCATTTATAACTAGAGATTGTCCTCCAACCTTTTACGACATATTTGAAGATCGTACCGAGGAGGAAACTTATAAAGAAATCCCCTCTCGTATTAAAATCGGTCAGAGACGATTTGTTGTAACTGGCCATCAGATATTAAATAATAGTTGAGCAAACTAAGAGAGAAATACAAAATAACAAAAATTACAACAAAAAAAATATAAAAAAACAAAACAAAACAAAAAATACAACAAGAACAACTCGAGGAACGGAAGAAAAATCGGTTATTTAAACTATTGTAAATAAAACTCTTAATTTTGTTTAGAGTTTTATTTACAATAATTTTAATTTCACTGTATCCAGCTCTTATCGAGTATAAAAAAAAATATATAATAATAATAATAATATAAGTAAACTAAATATACTCAATGTTTATCAATTAAACATTTATTAGATACTTACTTTTATGTACAAAGTTGATAGTAAAATGACACCTCTACCCTTTTTAACAAAATAAATTACGTTTACTCCACGAGACTTTCAAATTAGAACTATATTCAACCCAAACTTTTTATACAGCCACCAAAATTCTGTATTGCAAATAGAGGACTCAATTTATGGACTCTTAAAATTAATAACGACATCAAAACTACTTCTTCTTTTCACAAATTTAAAAACTTAAACAAAAACTTATTTAGAAAAAGTTATTTCTAACTATCTTATATAATCATATTCTTTTTTTATTTATTTATTTACTTAATTATTTTTAATTCTTATTTTAAATATAGGGTAGATTAGGGTAATATGAGCACCTTAAGCGAAAATTGGAATATTTTCAAAAATAAATATGCTGGATCCAAAATTTTTGCAAATAAACAATTTTTAGGGATCTCTACTCATAATCCATTTAGATATTTGGGCACCCGACATTTTTTCTTAAAAACACAGAGATTTTAAAAAAGTAGCAAAAGTGCTCGTATTACCCTGACCCCTTGGTAATATGAGCACTTTAAATTAGCTAAAAAAAATAGCATTAATTAGGTAAAAAAAGACCAATCTGACTAATAGAACTAATTTTTGGAATATAAAGATTCGTGATTAACAAAACTTATCATTAATAGATCAAATTTTAAGCTACATTTTGTTGAAACAATACTACTATGTTTTCCGGAAAAAAAAAAAAAAATTAATACACTCTAAATTAAAAAGTGTTAAATTACACCAAAACGGTGTGCAGCATGAAATACACCAAAACGGTGTTAATTAACACCGTTTTGGTGTTTTTCATGCTGAACACCGTTTTGGTGTTAATTAACACTGTTTTGGTGTTAATTTACACCATTTTGGTGTATTTCATGCTGCACACCGTTTTGGTGTTAATTTGCACCGTTTTGGTGTTAATTAACACCGTTTTGGTGTTAATTTACACCGTTTTAGTGTATTTCATGCTGCACACCGTTTTAGTGTTAATTTGCACCGTTTTGGTGTTAATTTACACCGTTTTGGTGTGTTTCATGCTGCACACCGTTTTAGTGTTAATTTGCACCGTTCTGGTGTTAATTTACACCGTTTTGGTGTATTTCAGGCTGCACACCGTTATGGTGTTAATTTACACCGTTTTGGTGTATTCTATGCTGCACACCAACATATATACACAACATATATATTTTATATATAAAACATATATAAAACAAATAATTACTTATGAAAATACAAAAAATTCATATTTATATTCTATTCACAAAAAAGCTGTGTTAACAATAAAAGTTTTACAATATTATTTTATAATATATATAAGATTTAAATAAAGAATTACAATAAAGATTTTAATAATTGATTTGCCTTTATTGATAAAGGAAGACTTTTTTTTAAAAGAGCAACTGCCAACATTTCCCAAAATGTTTTTGAACCTGAAGGATACTTCAGGTTAAAGGCATAAAAAAAGCATAATTTAGCGTGTATAATGTCAACAAGAAAATTTTTCTGGGCGACCACAACACCTTCAATACATAGAATGTATTCTTCTCCTTCGAGGTAGACTGTGGGCTGCATGTCGGCAACCTCAAGTTTTTGCTTCACAATAACAGAGCGAGGATTTAAATAATGATTGATAGCCATCAAAAGTTTGTCATCGTCATATTCCTAATATCATTAAAAAAGTATTAATAAACATTTTTTTTAAATCCATAAATAAACAATTTCATAATTTTTAATTTAATTAATAATTCCTGTAATAAAAAACCCTAAAAACAAGCTAAACTTTTACGTTTGCAGCAAAAAAATAATTTCAAACTATATTATGACATACTTGTGGTGTTTTAAGAGCTTTTCTCAGAAGATGCCCGTTTGAAGCTAAAAAAGCTCGGCAAGTTGGAACTTTAAGACCAACATCCAATTCAACCTCTTGATGCCAGAGTTCCTCGCTATGAATGATAGCCGGAAAGTGTTTTATAATATCAGCAACTGATTGCATTAGGCAATGCCGACCTATCTTTGCTTTACAATGGCATACAACTGCCAACCTGAATCTCTTACAGTGTCTGCATGCAAAAAAATATATATTATATATTATATATATATATATATATATATATATATATATATATATATATATAATATATAATATATATTTTTTGCATGCAGACACTGTAAGAGATTCAGGTTGGCAGTTGTATGCCATTGTAAAGCAAAGATAGGTCGGCTTTTGCGTCGGCATTGCCTAATGCAGTCCCTAACCCAAACACTAAATGAGTGGACTACCCCTTATGAGTAGACTAATCCTTTATGATGCTCTCAAAATAAACTTCAAATAAACTAAAATGATTTTAGCAACCCTCGGAATTAGAAAAACTAAAGTCATAAACTGTTTTAGGTCAGTATAAGGTTGGCAAATAAATTTCTTCACAAAGGTTTCACCATTAAAAATAGAAACAGGTCAACAAAAAATTACTGATCTCAAACACATTTATGTCGGCAATTAGATCTGCATTGCTGAATGCTGACCTAATTATGAGGGTTGTTTTAGGTCAAATTATGTTTTGCATTTTGATTTAAAATAATGTCAAAGTAATAAAAATTTGAATAAATATTAATATACTAACAATGTGGTTTTGCAAATTGATAAAAAAAGCTGATCTACAATCTGCCATCTTGTGGAGGATGTGAAATTGACTAGGTTAGGTTGATTTTCAATAAATTGAGCAGATAAATCAGGAAGCTCCAAGGTTAGCCTCTTACAATAAATACTCAAACTTGATGTTTTTTTTAGATAATTGGGTTAAAGAAATATGCTTTGAAGTCAATGGTGGTGAATTTAATGATATGTTGCTTGTATTTTCAGCCTCCATTACACTATAAATCACAAAAACAATGCAATTAAAATTAACATAAAATAAATAAACAGTGAAACTAGATTAACATAAAAGTCAAATACTGTATGCAACAATTATTCGTCATCATCGTTGTCATTGTTTTAGCGTCCTTGTTTCCGTGCTTGCACGGGTTGGACGTTTCTCACAATGCAATTTTTCAAGCATACACGATCTTAAACATCTTCTTTCCTTAAATGAAGCTTTTTTAAATCATCTGAAATACACCCTTTCCAAGTTTTTCTGTTTCTACCTCTACCTTTTTCTCCTGAAACTTCTAACTATCTACATGCTGATAACCAGTCATCTGCATTCTTACGCTCTACACGCTGATTTAATTGTATCTTCAAGATAAAAAAATTTACTAACACACTCTATCTTCACTCCACTTGTTATTTCAACCTCTTTTCTAACTTCTTCTGTATACTCACCTACAGTACATTTTCTACACTCAAAACCAACAATCTTAAGAGAACCTTGTATACTACTACATCACTTATGAACCCATTGCCTACAAACTGTACAAACAATAGAATTTACTACAACTCCCTTTCTACACACTCCACATGGCCACTTCCTAGTATTTTTTGTTTGCTCATTCTTGCCTTTACAGTGCATAAATTTTGTCTTCAGGCACAAATCATCTGCATAGAATAACTCCCATGGGAAAACAACTCTGAACTCTTTAGAGAGAGCTTCCAAAACGATAATAAAAAGCAAAGGACTAAGCACTGAACCAACCTCTACTTCAAATCAATCTCTCTGTCTCTTGTTTTGATTGTTGTTGTGACATTTTCATGAATAACCATTATGACTGTCACTAGCCATTCTTTAACACCTAAACACTTTAAAACCCACCACACAATCTCTCTTGGTACTCTGTCGAAAGCTTTTTCTAGGTCTACTATTCTCTATGGTCTACTATTCTACTATGGTCTATTGTATGCAGAAAAAGAACCTAAGCAGCAATTTTATCAGGTCATGTCAATTATAATTGAAAATTAATTGAAAAAGAAAAAAAACTTATATAAATAAAAACATCAAGAAATAAAGAAAATAAAAACACTCTGATGTAAAAAAACAATCTGATCAATAAATTTAAGTTTTGTGGTTTTTAAAAAGGTTCAACTTTTGGTGAACCAATAATTTCATCTAAAAGAGTTTTGGTAATGTAAAAGTTTTTTCTTACCATGATTGGTATAAGATTAAAGAATTCTAAAGACTAAAAATTTGAAATACATATATCAGATTTTTTGTTTAACCTGTCATCAACAGTAGTGATCTAATCTAATAGTAGTAACCATTTAATTAAATTGAAGTGTAAAACACTAACCTGTCATCAAATAGAAGTGCCATATAAGATTGTGGTCTAGAGGTACAAGCTTCGCTAAAAAAACACTTTTAAATTTAGAAGGTAATAACATAATTATAAATTTAAATTTAATATAAAATTTTATCATAATTAAAATTTTAATTTAAATTTAGAAGGTAATAACAATACTTTAATTTAATGTTTAAACAAAATATTAAAGTAAAAAACAATAAGCCTGTGTATGCACGGATTATGAACCACTAAATCATTACAATTAATAAAAACAAGTTCATTTAAATATTACAGTAAAAATATTTTGGCACAACTATATCACGTTGTTTAATCAAATATATTGGCAACGGATGGTGGTCGTGTAAGTCGTCAACTGTTACAAAAATGTATTTAGACAACTTAATTATGTGAAAAGCTTGAATGTGTTCATCATATTCATTTGTAGAATATAGTTGACACTGTAAGAATATTGTTGAACTGCACTTGTAGATAGCGATAATGCAAGCAAATTCCTGAGGCCTAAGAAGAACGCAATCACCGATTTGGTAAAAAATAGAATTAGAATTTACAGACTTGGCAGAAATTGCTTTACTAAGCTCAGGCCAGTTTGTGTTAAAGGCTTGCTTGACAAGACATGGAAGAGAAGACACATCAGTTTCCTTAGTTTCTTTAAGAATAATTTCTACATCGACAAAATCATTTCTTGTTCTACCATACGCAGCCCTTTTCTGAAATTTGCATGCAATTGTGTATTGGATATTTTTAAAGTTCTTAGAGTTTGATGCAAACTTCTTATGCACCTGATGGACTGCTTCAAAATGCAAACAAGAAGCCGCACTGAGGGTTCCGTGCTGCTCAAGGAGATGCATTTCAAGGTAATGCATTGTGTAATGTTGTTTTGGTGATACAGAACTATTGGGAAAATTTTCCATCACTGATACCAAATGTCTTTCACATATTTCCTTGAATTTTGGTAGGTGCTCTATGTCAAATGATGGTGCAAAACTAATATCCACTAACTGACGCAAAAGTTTCCATGTACTCCAGACTCTATCATTTTTTGGAAAGTAATCAGCAAAGAGAACACCAAATAATCTCACAAAACACCATATCTGAACTGCTTTGCCCTTAATTTCTTTTTTCACTACAGGCCCAGGTTTATTTGACTTATCTGCACCCATGAATTGAAATGTATTAATCAAAGTATTGATCTGTTTCCAAGTCATGAACTTGCTTTCAAATGCATATTTTAATATCAACTTCATCTCCTTTGGGCAACATCCTTCAAGTAGATCATGCATAATATCAGGAGGAAGAGATAGAACAGGGTGAAAATTCTCGAGATAATGAAGTGGTGAACAACTGACAACACCATTAACAGTACTCAAAGAAGCATCATCCTGAACCTTTTGTACAATAGCATTATGATTACTGACAGTTCATAAAATTCAATCTTTTGATGGAAATAATGTTTTCAATCTGGGTTTAGTTATCATACAGTAACATGGTCTAGAAGAGTTAAAACCACCAATGAGATGAGACCCTAAATTATCTCCAAGAAAGCTAACAAAACATACAGGATAATGTTTATCCTGGATTACTACACCATTTGATTGTAAATCATTCAAGTCATTTATAAATACTTTAAGAATAGCAGGAAGGCCAAATTCTGTGATGTGGGTTGCTGAAGATAACAGAACAAGATTGTGATGCTTTAACTGACTTCTATACTGTTTTTGCAAATTTATAATTGAAAAATAAAGACAAAATGTCTTGTGTTTTTTTTGAGTGTGTTGCCGCAAAGGGTTTAAATTAGATCCAAAATCATCTGAATATAATATGATTCCTATACTTTCTGGATGGTTAGCAAAAAAATTATTCTGCTGAAGTAACTTTCCATGTACAAAATCATAGTGGATTTTTGGAGGATTTCTTATTGAATTGGCATTCTTTGTTGCAGATAATTCTAATTGTTCAATCATATCAGCTGAAGACAAATATTTCTTGAGATTTTCTTCGATTGGTACATAAATATAGTGTTTTTTTGAAATCGATAGAAAAACTTTTACAGGAATTACATAAGAAAATTCATTCCTTAACAAAGATTCATACTTTGATTTAACTGAGCATGTTACAATAGATGGTATTAATAATCTCATAAAATCTTTTACCATGCATAAGTCCGATAAAATTTCATTGAAAGTAGTTTCAGGAACAAATTTCCTGGAAGTAAACTTCAGCTTTAAGTCACAAAAGAGCTTTTCATAAGACAGTTGTAAAACTAAACTTTCCACTTCCATAATTTGATTTTCAGCATTAATAGTGATAGCTTCATGCGAGATCGGAACACGCATGTTTGTAAATGGTAAATTAGTAAGATTAATTTTATGTTTTCTTGATGAATGTGATGTTAATGAGCTATAACACGAAAATTGCTGGTAGCAAACATGGCATTTATATATATATATATATATATATATATATATATATATATATATATATATATATATATATATATATATATATATATATATATATATATATATATATTACATCACTCATTATCATATAATGATATCATATTTTAAAATGAATATGTGATAATTAAATAATTACTTCAGATCTTGAACTTGCAATATTGCAGGAGTAGAAGTAATGGGATCATGGACTGATTCAGGAGAAGTCTGATCCTGAATAACATGTGGAACGAATTCTGAAAATGGAAGTAAAAATTTAATGTTAATAAATAATACAATTTTGTCATTTAATGTAATATAGTTAATTTTATATTTAATGTTATATAGTTTATATGTTATATAGTTATATGTTATATAATGTTATATAGTTATATGTTATATAATTTAATGTTATATAGTTAAAAAATCTACTTGAAAAAATTGTATAATTTTCAGATTAATTAAATTGATTAAGAATTGTAATCATCATAAAAAAACTAACCATCTAAAGAACTACATAAAATAAGTTGTGTATTAGAATCCAATTCATGGAGCATCTCATCTTCGTCAATTTCCATTCGCTCACGTGTACAAACAATAGTAGCACTTGTGTTCAACTTAGCATTAGCTAACACAAAATATTTATAAATTAAAGTACCCTAACTCTATTAAGGTATAGTAGCATACTATATTTCTTAAACTTATATAACTTAATATAATCACCTAATAATAACAATAATATTGAATGGTTATATTAACTTATATAAGTTTAAGAAATATCATTTAGAATTATTCCCTTATATAGTATTATTATTAATAACTGTTTAATTTTAAACAATACTACAGTATAATATATATATATATATATATATATATATATATATATATATATATATATATTTATATATATTATTATTATTATTATTATTGCTATTGTTATTATTATTTAATAACTAATAATTAATAATGCAACTTCTAAAATAACAAGTTACCTTTTTCAAGAAACTGTGAAAGCGTGGTTTCAGGTTTAACAACTATACCTTTAGGAATATCAGATGTAAATGATGCATATACAGGAAAAACTGGCATTTTTTATTGATTCTAGTTACCTTAATCAAATAAATTAAAAATTAAGCTTTAATTTTTAAACTAAAACCTTTTAGCTACGTGAAAACTATTTTTATTAAGTTATATGCATGTAGATTAAAAGGCCTAGTGTAAATTGCATTATTATAATGCAATTTTACACTACGCCTTTTAATCTAGATTAAACACATGTAGATATCTACATATAATAATATAATAATGATTATAATATTATTTTCAAATATTATTATTATTATAATAATATGTTATAATTTGTTAATGTTATTATTAAAATATTAATAACAATAGTATTATCAATAGCTTAAATTAAGTAGTAGTTGCTAATAAAAAAACTCTTTAATTTTATTTAAACTCAAAATAAGAAAGATTATTATCACGTTGTTAATATTAAATTAAGCCTTAATTTGATAATAACAACGTGATAATAATCTTTCTTACTTTGAGTTTAAGTAAAATTAAAGAGTTTTTTATTAGCAACTACCTAAATAAGCTTTAGTATATTATAAATTATTGTGAATTAGTATACTACTTCACTATAAATCAAACTATTTCCATTTCTCCTCATAAAACAATTTTTCCAAATCCTTTATTAACCACATTTTCACGTATTATAATCTTTATATACTTTATATAATCTTTATATTCGCGTACTACAGCTGTATCGTTACCACTTTTTTACATTTAAAACTTTTAAATTTTTTACATTTTAACCCTTTCGTTACCGATACCACGCATAGCGGGTAAAATATGTCGTATAGCGGTGGATAAAAAAGTTTTGTTTTCTGTCAACCCCGGGTTTTTTGAGCAACTTTAAAACTTAGCTTAATAGAAAAAAGAATAATAAGCCAATTTTACAGCGAAGAAAGCTTTGTTAGATTAGCTGATATTTAATTTTGAATAAGTAATATTTTTACATTCATCAAAGTTAAACAAAATACTTGTTCCTGATGGTACTATACACAGGCCTACTGGGTGTCATTTCCCAGTAACCAAACAGTCATCACACGATGCAACAGATAAACGTCCATCTAAATTATGCAAAGTATGCTATGCACGACGAACTTTTAATAAAAATGAAAAACACAAAAAACTGTGCATGTATGCCAAACTTGCCCCTGTGAGCCAGGGTTACATATTCATAGCTGCTTTGAAATCTATCACATAGTGCTAGATTTGCTGTAAAAATTAGTATATACCTATGTTTATTTATTTGACATATCTTACTGTTGTTACTTTTTGATTTTATTATTTTTATTTGTTCTTTTTTGAAGAAAGCATCATAATTTAAATTTTTGACCAAAAGACTCACTAACCTAATAAAATTAATAACTTATGATAAAATGTTTATGACTTGAAACTTTACAGAATTACTTATTATATATGTCTGATTGTTGACTCTAAATTTGAAAAAATTTTGATCAAAATAAGATGCATTTTTATTTTGTTGAATTTACAAATAAAATATTATTTAGTTTTCAAAATATGCTATTATTAATTAAGACCTGATGATTTTTTTTTCTTAGTTTTTGTTTTATTTTATGAAAGATAAATTGTAATGTTAAAAAGGAGCCAATTTTTGAACCTTTTTTAAACCCATAATATAATTTTGTTGGTAGTTGGGTTAAAACATCCTTTTTTGTCACGGTAATATAAGGTTGCCGAGCCCGGTAACAAAAGGGTTAAATGGTTTAAACATTCACGAGCACATTTTTTTTTAGCGTTTTGCTAACTTTAACCCCTCCCCCTCTTATTTCACAAAAGATGTTTGTGACCTAAGTGACCGTGGGTATATATTTCGGCAACCCCTCTTTCCTTTGAAAGTATGTCACATTTCAAATTTTAAACTTTTTGAAACGGATAATGAATAAAAAAAGATGTTATTTTACACCGTTTTTGTAAGAAAAAAATCCTTCAGAGTGTATAATTTTCTTTCAAACAGGAAACAATACATAATATATACAGAAAATGAAGAAAAAAAACATATCATAACTTGTGGTGTTCCCCAGGGATCAATCTTAGGGCCCTTATTATTCATACTGTTCATTAATGATTTGTATTTAGCATCCAAAATTCTAAACGTTATTTTGTTTGCTGATGACTCAAATCTTTTTTGCTCTAACAGAAATATTAAAGATCTGTTTAGAATTTTTAATGAAGAGTTATTAAAAATAAATGAATGGATTACGAATAATAAACTTTCATTAAATGTTGGGAAAACTAAATTTATGTTGTTCCACAAACCTAGTAAAGGTGATAACCTTTTTTTAAAACTACCTGATCTCTTTATGAACAAAAAAGTTATTAAAAGAGAGTCAACTATTAACTTTCTAGGAGTGATATTAGATGAAAATATATCATGGAAATATCATATTAGATCTATTGAAAATAAAATCTCCAAAAATATTTCAATGCTATATAAAGTTAAACCTTTCCTTAATACGGAATCTTTAAAAATTATATATTTCTCATTTATTCATAGTTACCTTTCCTATTGTAATCTTGCATGGGCAAGTACCAATTATGGGAAGCTCAAAAAAATTTATAGCAAACAAAAACATGCTTGTAGGATTATTTTTGGCGTTAACAGAACTGTTAATGGTGAATCTCTTTTAAAGAAACTTAATGTGCTTAATATTTACAAACTTAATATATACCAAGTTATACCCTATTTACGTTTAAAACAAAACATGCGTTATCTCCTAATATATTTCAGTCTTACTTTACCGAAATATCTCATAAATATCCCACTAAATTTTCATCTGATAATTTTGTTATTCCAAGATCTTATTTAAAACTCAATTCATTTCAAATTCAATACCGGGGACCATTTATATGGAAAGGTTTTTTAAAAAATATAATTAAAAATAAAATTCTTCGAGGCATCTCCTTAGAACAATTCAAAAGAGAATCTAAACGTTTTCTATTAGAAAAAACTTTCGATTTTAAAGATTTCTTCTAAAATCACCAAAAATAATTAAACCTGAAAAAGTCATCACTACTCATTTACTATTGTCTTGTGTATCTTGTTTATTTCTTATTAAAATAAAAAATATATATACTATTAATTTTGAACAGACAAATAACATTTATTCGATTTATTACTTGTGTCTTATATTTGTCGAACTAATATTGTATTGTACTTCAATTTTTAACCTTTTAGTTTTTAACTTGTAACTTTGTGACGTTAATGTAAACGGGGCTTGGCGATAAGACAGTTTATGTCTTCTTCTTGCTCCGGCCAATTTTTATACATGAATGGTTTTTTCTCATTGTAAATTTAATTATACGGCAAAGAAAATATAATAATAATAATATAATTACACCAAAACGGTGTATATTTACACCTTTTGCTTGAATCGTTTTCAATAAACACCGTTTGAGGCTATGTTATCACCAAAACGGTGTAATTTTACACCTTTTTGGTGTAATTACAAAACAGTGTAATTTTACACTTTTTTGGTGTAAATAGAAAACGGTGTAATTTTACACCATTTAATTAAAACGGTGTAAAAATAGAAAAACTTTACATTATTCAAAGTTTAAACCTTTTTGAAACAGTGTAGTTAATAAAAAAGGTGTTATTTTACACCGTTTTAATAAGAATACATCTTCAGAGTGTATAATTACACCAAAACGGTGTAAATTTACACCTTTTGCTAAAACTATTTTAAAAAAACACCGTTTGAGGTTATATTTACACCAAAACGGTGTAATTTAACACTTTCTAATTTAGAGTGTACGTTATTTTTTCAATTTTGTTAACTCAAACCTTTGAACGATAAAAATTCAAATTTTTTAAATTTAAGTTACAGAAAAATATTTACTATTGTTAAAACATTAAAGTTTTTTACTATGTTTTGTTTTTATTCAAGAAGAACTGCTATTTTAGGACTTTAAACTAAGTAATTTCAATGAAAAACACTGGGTAGTTTGAGAATGCTCATATTACATAAAAATGGCATCTTTAAATAAAGTCAAAAATAAATCTTTCTATGCATTTTTTTTCAAACAAAAATGAATTGGATTTTTAGCTAATATATTTTTCTTTATGAAAAAATTAATTTCATTATTTTAGCACCAAAATTTTGCGCCACAGAATTATTCACGCGTAATGATATTATTTTAACAAAGCAAAAAATTTGAAAGCGTTTTAATTAGATGATATCCGCTAATTACTGCGTATAAATTTACGCAAATTGTACTGATTCTTGTTATCACCACATAATCTTTAAGTATGCTCATATTACCAAGGTGCTCATATTATCCTAATCTACCCTACATTTTTTTTTTGCTTTTTTATTCTATATTATTATTATTATTTTTATTTATTTATTTCCTTTAAGCGGCCCAAGCCGCCTGGTTTGCTTATATCTGTTTTTGTTATTATTAACTTAAATAGTGGAAAAATTACTCTTAATGCTATTAACAATTATTGATTAATTCAAGGCCAACGACACGGGTTTTGAAGTCGAGGGGTAAAATCTTTAATTTTTAAAAAAATCCTCTATATCTAGAGTTTTTTTTAAAAAAAATGTAAAAATACCATGAAAACTACGTGGCTTAGTGATAAAACTACTACTGTCTTCTTTTTCTTCCGGTCACATATATATCTATGAATACATTTTGGTGTTGTAGCAATATTTAAACGGCGAAATATATATATTAAAAAAAAGGCCTTTTTTTTAATATATATTTTTCACCCACCCCTAAAAATTTTCACGGCACAGGCCTGTTTATAGTTGAATATCCAACAAATATTAAACATTAAACCTATTATTTTAATTGTCTTGTATTAATAGAAAAACATTTTTTTAAGATTATTTTTTCTTAAACTATTTTAAAAAGTGTATTGTATTTCCCTAAATCAGAATGATAAAAAGTAACTTAGTCGTGGTCAAGAAAAAGCGAAAAAAAAAAGGCAAAATTAGTGGAAGTTTTAAATAAAGTCTCAAAAATTTAGAATTTTTTAAAGTACCAAATGAAAGTGCAGACCCTTCGGTAGAATCTAATGATACTACTGCAGCAATAAAAACGAAAGATGAAAATGATGTAAACTTACGAGAACAG